CCCTGTTTCGTGGTGGTGCTCCATCGGTAGCCGGGTGAGGGGGTGCATTCTTGGTGTATGGCTGGGGAGGCGCATCCCTGGAGGGAGCACAGCCACTCCTAGTCTTCCAAACTATGTCACCTTGCTGAGCACAGACAGAGCACAGTCAGGCCTGAAGGGACCCTGAGAACTAAGCCCATAAGCTCAGCTGTACCCATGATGGACTGATGACCGATGCCCTAGCAGCTTCCTCATCTCTAGAAGTTACCTAAGGTGCCAGAGCCTTTGTACAGCACCAGGCACGGGTGAGCAGGTGAGCGGGAAGGGGCATGTCACATAATAGCTGTGATTAAATTTCCCAACAGCCCAGCAGGATAAGCCAGAACTTAGTTGATTCGAGGAAAATAAAGTAAAATTTCCTGCACACCTGTGGCCTAGGATTCATATCCACTCCACATATTTGCTTCCTCTGCATTCCACATTTATCAGTTACCAGGAGGAAACCTTTTACTTTTTTTTCTCATAATTATGCCTAAGGTATCATGATGTGGAATACCCATTTCATGAATTTGTTATTAAGATATTGTGGGTTCCAGAGAAATTCCCTAATTGCTCGATTTTAATTCAACCAGGGCAGACTCTAACTAATTGTGTCGCCTCTAAGATTTTGAAATAATTGAATGTCTGTTTCTGTCTTTTGATCCAAGTCCTAGAGAGTAGTTTTCAATATAATCATATTTTCCTAGCATTACTTTAAGCAGTCAAACAAGAATGTAATCCAAAAAGCCTCCTGTATTCACAGAGACAATGCTCTTATGATGAAGCCTGAAAGAAGTTGTAATTAATGCAAGAAATAATGCGAACAATCTATTAACATAATCTGAATGAAATCCTTGCACTGTTAAATGCAGACACTAAGTGCTCATATAATACTTTATTAATTAACAAAGTATTTATCCACAGGGAAATGAGGATAAGAGACCATACACTTTGCCAGACTACAGGAAAATGTATTAGTGCTTCATAAGAAATGCATACAATTCAAACAATACCACGATTATCTTTTTAAAGCAATTACATTTAATCTCAGAAGGAAGAATAAATACATTAATTCTTCCATGTTCGCTGATAAGTCACCGAGATACATAAGTGATCATTTTCCTTTGCTGCAGCTCTGGAAGCTGGTGGCAGTCCAACCCGTGCTGCTCAGACAACTCATACGGTAAAATACCTCTCCGCAACATGAAACACATTGTGAGGACGGCTGACTTTTGGCTGAATAGGTTCCTCTTCTCTGAGAAACCGTGGTTTGTCCTTGACTTAGCACATCCCCTTGAGATCTTGAGTCCTGGATGGTGAGATGGTGTGTCATCGTATACAGTGACCGTGTTTGGTACTGGGTTCCAAGGCATTTTCTTATCTTGGTATATACTGGGCTGCGTCGAGTATAATCATCAAGGATGTCTTTGACCTTTAAAATTCCCAACAGAATGAAGTCAAAGTAGTTTGCTCCAGGATTTCTTTCTCTTGGCCCTACCCAGTCTCTTCTTGGCCTCCCAGCACTGGGAGCTGATAAGCAGAAAGCCCCCGCCCCCCCAACACACACACCCCTCCATTGACATTAGCTGATTGTGACAACTATGTGATGACCTACCCACAGGCCATGCAGCCACTGACTAAGGACAGAGAACTTTGGCCAAATAGCTCCTGTTCCTCACGTCCTAAGTAACCACCAGACTGCCTTCTGCTTTTTTTTTTATGATTTTTAAATGGAATTTATTGGAGTGGCATTGGTTAATAAAAATTACATAGGTTTGGGGGGTACAGTTCTATAACACATCTGTATACTGTATTGTGTGTTCACCACCCCAAGCCCAGTCTCCTTCCATCACCATTTATCCCCTCTTTACCCTCTGCTGCCTCCCTCCACCCCCTTTCCCTCTGTAATCACCATACTGTTATCTGTCTATGAAGTTTTTTTTTTCTTTGCTTAATCTCTTCACCTTTTCCACCCAGCCCCCTAAACCCCTCCCTTCTGACAGCTGCCAGTCTGTTCTCTATCCATGAGTCTGTCTCTATTTTGTCTGTTAGTTTATTTTGTTCATTAGATTCCACATGCGAGTGAGATCATATGGTGCTTGTCTTTCTCTGTCTGACTTATTTCACTTAGCATAATGCTCTCTGGGTCCGAGTAGTATTCCATTGGTTAAATGTCCCACAGCTTTTTTATCCACTCATCTGCTGATGGCCACTTGGAGTTCATCCAGATCTCGATTATTGTAAATAATGCTGCAAGAGGATGGACAGACGGCCCCCCGACTTTCAGAGCTCCAGTTTCCAGCCCCATACCACTCCCTTGTCTATCAGTCTCCAAAGACCTGCTCCAGTTTCTCTTACAGTTGCTGCATAGATGCCGCCTCTCTCGGATGTGGCTCTTCAGAAATAGCCCTTCCCGGTTTACCCCTGGGCTCAAGCCCTAGGGTACTGTGTGTTCTCAGACCTTGTCACCTTTCACGAGGGTTGCAGCAAATACATGGCAGCTGGTACAAGACCGCAGAAAGGCTGTGTGGACAAAGGCCCACTATTTCTTGAATAATAGGGTGTTTGAGAGGATAGGACTTAGAATCAGGGGTCTAAGTCCTAGATGCCACATGGTGCCACAAGAAAATAATGGAACCCTCCAAGTCTTCTGTTTTCTAATCTGTAACATGACAATGCTAATTAGTTTTTTGTTGTTTCCCAAGGACTGTGGTGATGGCAGTTATTACTATACATGTGAAAGTATTTTGGAAAAGTACAGAATAGTAAATGCACTGCATTACTGTTTACATTTTTGTGAGTAAAACACTGTTCAAGGAAACCGTTGGAAAAGTTTTTCCTAAAACATACCTGTTACACTGCACCGCAGGGAAAAATGCTGTAAATGTTATGTGGTCAAATACACTTGGTAAAATCTGCCTATGTCATCTCTTTCTAGGTGATAGAAAATGCTTGGTGGCTATTAAAGGCTTTGAAAACTGCCACCAAAAAGACACTTGTTAAATTTTGGTTAACTCAATGTTTACCTTACTTTTTTGACCACTGGATTTTTTTAAGTATTTTCAAAAATTATTCTTAACAAACAGTATTACTATTAAAACTACATGTGGAAAAGATACAAAAATACAGATAAAACAACAGATACTCCATGGAACTAGTTTTCCATAGAATATGATTTAAGAAGCCAGGTCTAACCTATTTTAAATGTGACCCTGAAACAAAATATCTAAAGACATCATAGCTCTCAAAAGAGAAGTTGCTTATTTTTGAATATGTATTTTTAAGATAAGGTTGAAATCATTTTATTGTGAAACAGAAATGTACCTGATCTCCTCCACCTGGCTTTTGTAGGATTCCCCTCAACTCTCTTAACCTTATGACCATCATGCTTGTCCTGAGGTTTCTGGGGGGAACTTGGAGAGTGAGTTTTCCTCACATTCCTCGTTGTCACATGGCTTCCTTCCTGACAACCTCTGACAGAAGCGCCAACACCAGAAAGAAGGAGCTGGGGGGGAAAGTGTACAGATCTTTTTAACCAACCCTGTGTCTTCAGAAGCTAAATAACTCGTCTAAGCCCATTTGGGCTGCTACAACAGACTATCATAGACTGGGTGGCTTATACATAATGAACATTTAGCTCTCACTATTCTGGAGGCTGGAAATGCAAGATTAAGGTGCCAGCAAGTTCAGTGCCTGGTGAGAACTTGCTCCCTGGTTCATAGATGGTGACTTCTTGCTGTGCCTTCACATAGCGAAATGGGGAGACCTCTGGGTCTCTCTTATAAGGGTACTGATCCCATTGATGTCTCCACCCTCATGACCTAATCACCTCCCAAAGGCCCCACCTCCTAACATCCTCATATTGGGGGTTGGGATTTCAACGTATGTACTTGGGGGAACACAAATATTTAATCTATAGCAGAGCTACACCCAACTCATTCTCAGTTCTTTCCAGATACTTCATCTTCTAACCTAAGTGCAAAATACAAGATTATTGTCAATCTCAAGATGGAGAAGCCAGACTAGAGAGATGAGCCAGGTTTTGAGTTTGCCTCCTGTGTCTCTTTCCACTTTCACTCTCTTCCCTTCCTCTCCATTTTCTGGAGTCATTTTTCTCATTGGATTTCTTTTGCTTTCCTTTAACTACTGTGCTTCTTTGATCTTCCGATATCATTAATTATAAGATAGACCATGGATTTAATAAAAACTGGGGGGTGTTAGTTGAGAAGATACAGTAATTTTATGTACCAGTTCTAGGATGCATACTGACTATAAACTTATTTGTATAACAGACAATTATAAAATGCTTATTACGCACCAAACACAATTCTAAGTACTTTTCATTTATTAACTCATTTACGCCTCATCATCACTTTATCATATAGATACTGTTATTGTTCCTATTTTATAGATGAGAAAACTAAAGCACAGAGAAATAAGGAACTTGCCCCATATCACACAACTGGTAAGTGAGAGGGGTCATATTCAAACCCAGCAACTCTTACCAGTACCCCATTCTGCCTCAGAAAAATTTTGAGCCTCGGTAGAAGGTTTTAGTTGAGAAATTTTCATCTTTCTTGTCCATGTCATGAAGTGCAATGAAGGTCAAGAGAGACCTAATTTAACCCACTACCAATTATTTTACCATTATCTGTGTTTTATCTTACAGATATTTATCAAGCTCCTACTATGTGCATTTTTGTGTAGAAGACTCTCCTTGAAGGAAAAAGAGAGATTGTGCCTCAAGGTGGACACTGTTATGCTGGGCAAAACCACCTGCACATGTAAACTGAAGTCTAAAAGAGGGGACCGTCTTTCCGACTGTGGCCACAGATGTGTATTGACGCTACTCGTGGGGTTCCAGCCTCTTGCCTAAGGTGACCCAGTGCAGTGGGATTAGGGTTCCAGCGCTGGCCACGTGCACGCTTCGAACCACCACCGCGTCCTGTCTGCTGCTGGTAGGAGCCCCTGAAAACCATGGGAAAGGATTGCTCTGGTCCTTCGGCATGAGTTCTGCTTGGCTGGGCTGATAGAGGTAAGGGAATTTTTATTTTTTGAGTTATTTTGTCTTGAAACACTGTTCAGAATGTTACTGTCTGATGGGAAGTAATGCTGGAGTCAAAGCTCAAGAAGCCAGAGGTGTTGTCCAAGGGTCATCACAATCTCAGAGCCACGAAATGAGCTCAGCAGCAGGTAAGGATCGTGGCCATTGACCGCGGGCCCACTTCTCTTGCCTCATTGCCGTTGTGTAAGCCCGCCAGTCGCCGCAAGCACCCCCGGTCCTTCAATCTGCTTATTAAGTTTCCTTATTCTCATTTCAGACTTGACAATTTATTATTCTGTTAAAACAATGTGCCGTTTACAGTCGAGGCTAGATTAATTCAGTTCAGAATGCACGCGGACTTTTGCTGAAGAGCACGCATTTGCTTTATAGAGTCTTCATTGCAGCCTGTGCTTTCAACCACCTTATTCTTAAAACGAATTTCAAGAATACCTTTGCCACGCTCTCTGTAGGTGGAGAGGCGCTATCAGTGGTCTTTTGACCTAGTAAGCAGCAGTGGTATCATTTGTAAGCAGAAATTGCGAGTACATGCTCACAGCCCATTAGCAGAAATGTGATGCCAGTTAACACTGAACTTTATTGACAAGCTGGAGGAAGTTTCATACTTTATCTTTGAAAAAGCTGCATGCTGTATTTTCCTGCATGGACAAGCTACCCAGGTAGCAGGGTTCAGTGGGGCTTCTACGAATGTGCCATATGTTATAAATAACTTTGTTCTTGTTTGTTCTGGAATCTGGCTCTGCTCAGGAGAGACTTTGAGATTTGTGTAGTCAAAATTATACGTGCCTCCCTGGCCACTGTGGCTCAGTGGTTAGAGTGTTGGCCCAGTGCACTGAAGGGTTGCAAGTTCGATCTCCGACCCTGGTTGGGGTGTGTGCGGGAAACAACCGAAGGATGTGTCTCTCTCATGTTGATGTCTCTCTCTCTCGCTCTCTCCTCCCTCCCTCCCTTCTACTCTCTCTAAAAATCAATGAAAAATATCCTCGAGTGAGCATTAACAACAAAAAATTAAACATGCCAACACTTTACACCGATGGCTAAAATGATCCACCTTTATAACCCTCCTTTGTGTTGGGTGACATTATCTGGGAAAATCAGCTCTCCAACTAGATGACACATTTTGCAGAATTGATTTGTGGGACATTTGTGTCCTTAGAGTGGAAATGAAGCAAAGAGATTCAAGTCTGGCACATTTGGAGAATAGAGTAGTTACCTAGGAGGAGAAAAAGCCTGTAAAAAATTGCTTTAAGTAGCTAAAATCAGAATTATAATAATTCTAACACGGGTTTCCAAGTTCTTTTTGGAGTCACTAAAAGTCACTATAAATCGTACTCATTAGAAGGCACTACTTTATGTCAGGGGATGTTAGAGAATTAATCTGCCTGAAAGATCTCAAATTTAACATGCGTGTGGACTCGTGTCCTCAGGGAGCCCTTTCTAGATACGTCTAGATAGATTGCCCTGTTACATACTCTCAGTGAGCCCTTGTTTCTTAGCAGCACTTACCAGAATTATAAAAACAGTTTAAAACTGGCAACACCGGCATCTCTGTTTCCCAGTCCTGAAGTTACGCTTTTCTCTACCATTCAAGAAGTCCGTGTGACTTTTTTGAATAGAGCCAGCGAGGAGATTTTCATGAAGTCTTAAGCTGCAGTGGCCTAAATGGGTCAGAGATTTGCCACTAGGGATGGTGCCAAAAAAGACACCAGGAGTTACTGGCTGTCATAGAAGATTAAATTTGGTTTTCCCTCCTTTGCTACAGTGATGACACAGTTCAGAGAGCCAAGAAGCTGGGGGATGGTTCGACGTGAGGCAGTACTCAGTTTGGTAAGAGAAAGGGAGGCTTAGGATATTGTGTTAAAAGAGAAAGCTGTAGCATCCTCAGCGAAGCACAGCTATACCTGTCCAAGGGATCCCACCGTGTGCTTGTATAAATAGACACAGAGCAGCTTGGTTTTCAGGGAGTAGCCTGCGCGAGTCTGCAGTCTCTCCGCTCATCCACACACGACACTTAGACAAAAGAGAGGGAAATGGGAGTGATTGGAAAAAGCCCTGTGGGTTCTGCGGATCCTCACCCTGTGCCCCAGGAAGCTCCCCTCTCCTGAAGGGTGGTGGTCAGGCTTCCAAAGGAAACTCCAGAGGGAGTGAGACACAGAAGGCTTTGCATAAATTAAGCGAAACACAGCCATTCCTAGACTTGAGAGATCACAGTGTTTTCCTCTCCAATCTCCAGTTAGATTATTTATTTGAAATGGCATCAAATATGCCTGTCCCTAGGCTAGGAGTAAAATAGCAATTTTGAGGCTGAACATAAGGAGAAGAAAACAAAAAGATTTCAAGCCATCAAAATACAATGGGACATGTTTGGGGGGAAGAAAAAAAAAATGCCAAAGCGTGGCAAAGATAATTCCATACTTCGCTGAGACACAAAGAGCCAAAAATTAAATAAATAAATGTGAAGTCCAGGCTCAAGAGAAACCCTGTGGTTGGGTGTAGAAAATGGAGATGATAGCAGAGAAAGACATCATCGAAACCAATGGTTTTCAACCATTTTTTTAAGCAGCAGAATGCTTTCATTCAAATGTAATCGTAATGGACTTCAATTGATAAAGCAGATAAAAATGCAGCTGCTCCGGTAGAGGGAGGGGAGGCCAAGGGCACTGTATCCCTGCGTCCCTTTTCCCTCCTGCAGCTGCTCCTGTAGCCCTGCCAGGGAATCCTCACGCTGCAAAACGGACTTTGAAAAGCAAACATTGCACTGTTGAGGCTTCTACCCACTTCGCAGTTTCGCAGATATTAAATATTATTAGTGCCTTCTAAACCAATAGACATACATTAATGAAGCTGCAAATCTTTCTCTTTTCCTGTGTTTGTGATTTTGCAGCCTGAAAATAGAGCTGAAACAGAGAGCAGCCAGCAAAAGTACAGGATTTGATTCAGCCCATCTCGCGCTTCCTGGTGTCCCTGCTGGTCTTGGACCATGCTCAGTGTTCACACAAGTAATAAAATTCGTGCCTGACCCCGTGATCTGATTTATTTGAACTTCTTATCTCTTCTCAGATCCTTGACCCAGGGACTGTTGGTAATTTGCATGGCTTCTACTGAGTGAGTCTGACACGTTTCATATTTATCTTGAGGAGGTCAGAGACCTTAGGTGAACTCTGTATCTGGTTAAGCTGAAATGATTAATTCATACATCCAAAAGCGAAAGGGTGCTTTCTGTGAATTGTCTGCATCGTTCTTTGAAATGCAGCAGGATGGTTTAATGGCTTAAATGCTCTAGTGATGAAGAGATGAAGGGGACTCAGTGCTTCTTGGTCCCAGGAGGAACTGTAGGCACAGAATCAAAAAGGGCTATTTAGCCTGGGCTTAAGCCATAATCAGAATGGAGAGAGGTCCTCAGCCCTGTAATTTCAATCATCATCAGTCTCCAGCGAAGAGTAGAGGGTGGGTCTATATCGCGTCTGAGTGAATGATCTGAGGGATGAGAACTCAGCCTTTGATGTGCTTGGTGCTTAAAGGGAAACAGCAGTGGGAGCAGGGGAAGGGAGAAATACTGGAACTCAAACTCCTAAGCTTTTCCTGCCTGCAGCCTACTTTCTTGTCTGCAAAATGGGAACAAGAATAACTACAATGCTAGGTTATATTATTACTCAAAATATTTACAGTTTTCCACCACCTTTATGGGAGTAATAAACTCTCCTACCCCACTGATGTTGGGCTTGGCTATGCAGCTTGACTGGCCTCATGCTGGGCAGAGGGGACTTCACCACAATTTGGCTTTGACCTTGGCCATATAATTTGCAGTAGCTATGATGCAGTAACAGTTGAAAGTAGGTTTGCCATGAAGAAAACATGCTTTAGCTATCCTACTGTCTAAGGAGGAGAGGTTCATAGAGCAAACCTGGACTTGACTCCCTGCTTGGAGCCAAGCCTAGTGCTGCCTGTATCACCAACCCCCGGGTGACTCATAGATATGTGAGCGAGAATAAACATTATTTGAAGTCACTGAGTTTTAGGGTGCTTTGTTACACAGCAATGGCTAACATACACTCAGGTTACTGTGAGGATTAAATGAGGTAACATATATAAAACTCCTAATCTAAGACCCATCAGCCAGTAATCGCTCAATACAAAATTTCTGCTATTATAAACAATACTTACATTACTAGTTGGGATAATAAGTGTTTCCTTCCAATATTGCTGATCAATAGATGGGTCTCACTGAGTCTTCTGGATGGTGGGAAATTCATGACAACACCAATTCTGTTTGCATTTCACAGCAAGTTCCCCTCTGTCTTGCCCTACCTTTCTCTTTCCTTCACATCTGCAGGGCAACACCAAAAATGTCACAAAATTAGATATCACTTTGGGACTTTGTATGTAAAGAGGTCATTGCAACCAGTAAAAATGGTAGGCTTTCCAGGATCCTTTGTGGGTGTGTGATGCTCACGGGGAAGCTCATGGTCTGATGCTGGCTCTGCCTGAGGAACTTACCCTCCCCGGTTGCACTTCCCTGATTTACATAATGGGGCTGATTATAATTGCCAACCTCACAGGATTGTTGTACGAATTAACTAATGTTTGTAAAGTGCTTAGAGGTCCATAGATGAAAGGTGCTCTATAAGCCTATTATTATGTCATCAAAAATGAAATTCCAATAAGATTACACTTTCATTTAAATTTCCATTAATTTTGTCATCATTCTAGATGAATTCTCCCTGGTTTTCTAGAGCCAAAAATAAATAAATAAGTAGATAGGAGAAAGGAGTGATATATTAAAATATGAAGCATTCATATGGAAGGGAAATTAGCTAGAAAAAGCTAACACTTAAAAGTGATTTTTAAATTATTACCCTTTAATGAGCCCTGATCGTGTAATCAATATTATGGAAAACCTAGATATGGTCTCTGAGTTTACAAACTAAATTATGAACCTGACTAATTAAATAGCTAACATTTTCTATTTCAAG